ATGCAGTCTAGCACCTTCCTGTGATCACCTAGGGCCTCAGCTTCAATCAGGTTTACGGAGTCTGCCGATGTCTGCCGTGCGGAGTGTGCACTTCAGGCCTCATTGTTGCTCTCCGCATTGTCCTCCATAGCCGAAATACGATCCTGCCGGGCGCTGTCTTCGTCCCAAAAAACCCACACCAAGCAGCAACGGAGCCGTCCTTCATGCTCTGAAACTCCTTTGGCCGAGGTTGCACCTAAAACGTTTCGGGCTGAAAGCCTTCTGTCCGAAATCTGCGACGTGTCTCGGTGAGAACCCGGCGGGGTCCAAATGCCGGGCCTCGGGCTGAGAATCATCACACCGATAAGAAGAACACGACCGACAGCCACTTCCCGGCTGGTACCAGATATGTAATACAAACTCAAACAAACTTCTTTAGTGAGACTCACACAAGCATAAAGAAGGGCATTACATGGCCACGATAAGCTATGATTGTCGCAGTCGCCGTCGTGGCGTCTCACGCAGAGGGCCGGACTGGCTTGAGTTCACTGAGTGCAATGGTGTCAGGATTTGGCCTTTGCGATGTCAGGCTGCGATTTCATGCGACAGGAGAAAACGTCGCTCCCAGAGCTCCATGACACAAAGCTTTCATGAATACTCGTAACCCCTATCATCATCTGGTTCTAGTCCGTCATCTAGACCGCTATTCTTGCCAGAGCACTTGAACTCTTCCATGAAGCGCCGGGCTTGGGTCTTCCTTCTTTCGACGACCTGACACCAAAGTCGAAGGAAACCCGTTCAGACTCCGCACACTCGCCAGCCTCATCAATGCCCTGGCGGTATGCACCTTGAGGGGCTTAGGGTTTAGGGTCCAGGGGTGTAGGAATGCCCTGGCGGTATGATCCTCGATTGTTGAGATGCAGATGCAATGGGCTTTAATTACGCATTTAAGAGCCGAGTCCAGGACGCATCTCTTCGAGATTTCGCAGCATGTTCTCCTGCGACGCAGGGTCTTGAGCCTAAACCCCAAACCTTGACCTGAACCTTAAACCCCAAAACACTAAAAGCCTGCAAACGTTAAATCCTTAAAACCTCAAACCCAAAAACACTCAATACTGAAACACCAAAACCCCGTAAACCCCAAATCCCTAAACCCTACAAACACTCAACCCTAAAGCCCAAAAGCGCTAGACCCTAAGCCCTAGAAGCCCATAAAAAAAGTGATGCCCGTAATCATATCTTTAGTTAACCCTGGAGCCCTTAATATCCTTTAACGCTAAACCCCAAAACCCCTAAAAACGCTAAACCCTAACAACCCCAAAACCAGAACCTGCTCACCGAGAGAAGTCCCTTTGCGAAGCCCGGGCCCCGGCCTGCACGTTCTGACATCTTTGCACGACCTGAATAAGAGGAATAGACTAAATGGTATGTGTATATATAGACACTCTATATATATATATATATATATATGTATATACACGTATGTATGTGCTATATGTACATGTATATGTATATGTATATGTATAAATATGTATTTATATATACACACATGTATATATATATATATGTAAATATGTGGGTGTTTCCGCCAAACAGGCATCCAAGCAGGCATTTGGGATCGGGGGTATGTTTCGCGGCCATGTTTGAGGGGTATCCAACTCTACCGTAAGTTTTGGGTTTAGGGTTTAGGGTTTGGGTTTAGGGTTTATCGCTAAGCCACTGAGGGCTTAGGATGTGTAGTGTGGTATTAAGTAGGTATCTGGGCCCCACAAAAACAAGTGTTTTCCGGGGCTTCAACGGATTGCAAAGGGCAAGCGTCCTAGGGCAAACCCTCGTCTTGAAGCCCCAAAATGTATTGCAGTACTTGTCACACGGTTTCTACGGTTGATATCGGTTGATGATGTAGAACCTGCATTATCCATAGTAAGGAATATACCATAATTCCCATAGTGTAGGGCCTCAGGGTAATGCAGGATTTATATCTTCGACAGTAGTAAAGGAATTTACTTTTTGGGTTCAGGGTCAGGCCTGGGGCCTGCAGCCTTTGGGATGCAAAGCACAAAGACCTGACCTCAGGATTTCAATTTGCGTGTTCGGTGCACCCAGACAAAGCTAATCAAATACATACATACATACATACATACATACATACATACATACATACATACTTATCATGCATAACACCTACATGGATCATATATAATAGGGGGAGCCCTCCAGTTGCGCCGAGCGGTGTTGTGCCAAGCCGCTGTGCCGCGCGTCTCTCGGCTGGGCTGCCATCTGCCCATTTGGCCCCGGTCGGCCAAGTTCGACAGAATGTGCAGCTTGCTGTGCTTGAGCCGGACAAGCAACTAAAAGATCACAAGGAGCTCAGAGCACAAAGACGACAGCAGAATCAAATGGTATCAAACGAGTCGCATGAGCTGTCCTGACGGTCATGCCGGTTCTGCATGGTGCTGCAGTATAGTGTGCAACCTCAACTGGGCAGTCAAACGCAATCACAAGCAGAGGATCACACGATGAGCCTTAGAGGAGACCTTTGTGCGGCTTGCCACTGCCTGTCCATTCAGAGCACAGCATCTCGCGAGCTGCTTAGACATGTTGCAGATTTTCGACGAGAGGCCTGCGCAGAGCAACTGCGCCCAAGGCGGCCTGGATCAATAACATGAAGGTCCCATAATACCTAAAATTTAAGATGTGCAAACTGCATTAAGCATAGACAATAACATCTACAATAAGCAAAATAAGATATAGCAAATAACATATAGCATGTACAACATAATACGATGCCATATGGCATAACAAAATCTAACACAGTATACCATGATAAATTACAACATAACACGATATGATAAGCTAAAATGCAATTATAATGTAGCATGGAAAATAGACAAGACTAGCAAGAACAGAACAGAACAGGACAGGAAAGCATAGGAGAGAAGAGCATAGAATACAAAACAATAGAATGGAATGAAAAAAACACAATATATAAAAAAAACATAATATGATATGCTATGAATATAACATCCTCCAAGAATCCTGTACCATTAAACCTACTGTAATGGACTGTGATACGACATAACTGATGAAATGTGCTCGAGTGCGATATAGTACCACAGAAATAAGATAAGGCCACATAACGTGAGATAATGCGAAATACAACCTCTCAATAGTATAGAATGAGACAAGCCATAATGTACAGCATAACACAAAGTAACGGATAGAATCTAGCAGAATGTAACATAACCGAAAACAACTAAAATATGACCGAACACAACAACCAAACATAACTCAGTATAACACAAGATAAGATAAGACAATACAACACAGTAAAACGTAAGATGATCTACCGCAATACCATATAACACAATATAATATCCACATCATACTGCAAAATATAACGTGATGAGACGTAATGCAATAGACCACCGTCTAATTTCACAGTGCAGAGGCGAACCGAATGGAATAAAGCAGAAGATGATTTGGCAGCCTGCATTATAATCGAGCCGGATATACAGCACTTAACCTATCACACAAGATACTAAATTACACTACGGTACCATATAATTTAAATTAGTATACCATACTCGCAACTAACAGGGGCTGAAACCATAAACCCCTAAACCCTAAACCCCTAGACCCTAAACTCCTACACCCTAAACCCCTAAACCCGAAACCCCAAACCCTAAACCCCAAAAACCCTGAACCCCAAACCCCTAAACCCCAAACCCCTAAACCCTAAACCCTAAACCCCTCAACCCTAAGCCCTAAACCGTTGGAAGGGCCGACCTGCAGAGGCCGACCGGCATCTCGTGGATGGAGCCTGTGCAGTACTCGCACCATGCCGTGTGTCACGCTCAATCATGGGGTTTAGGGTTTAGGGGTTCTAAGGGTTTAGGGATGTTAGGGGTTTAGGGGTTTAGGGTTTAGGGTGTAGGGTGCACGGCTTCGGGTTTAGGGTATAATAGCGTATCATATAGTGCCATATGAAGCGGTATGATACAATACAGTAGACTATAACAACATAGAAGATAGCTTTATAACAGTAGATTTATAACAGTAGATTTAAATCAACATGCACAGCAATATTTGTCAACCTATAACTATGTGTGTGTATATATATATATATAGGTACAACTATATTGATACTTTGTATTATGTGCATATACAGCTGCGCATATTGTACACATAACATACATACATATATATATATATATAGTATATAAATAGAAACATGTCTCCATGCGCCGCTGTTTAGCTGAAGATGCTCAGTCCAGATCTAAGGGCCAGGCAGCAACGCATGCTGCAGTTGGGGGACCTGCAGCGACTGCCTTGGGTCAATCTTGACACATCCACATAAACTATCCCAAAATCGCGAGTCGAGCACCGCACCCGAGCAGAGCGCATGCAGCCAGCTGATGCTGCAATCGCGGCATCTACATTGCAACAAACCGGACCGCAACGTAATGATCCTATCGCCAGCATAAGAGAGCCTGAGCTCTACCGAAACACTACAGGCTAGGTGCAGGGCTGTCCTAGGGCTGGCTTAAGTGACATCGAGTTCAGAGGTCTTGTAGGCGTCCGCCGACTGATGCTTCTTGGCCAGAACACTCCAGAAGATAGGGGCACGCCGGGCACGCAACGTTTGAGGAGCTCCCGGGCGCTTCACGGCTAAGCTATTCATTCAAGCACAGGAACACGAGACGCCAGCTTCCCCAAAAGCAAACCTGCAGTTCTGAAGGGTGGTGGACTACGCCAGGACGCTGGAGCCGCAGACTGACTAAGTCATGTCCACGTTGCAGATCAGTGACCGGCAGACTGCACAGCTAGCACAAGCCCGCATCCTAGGTCATAGAACATAACATCTTCCTGCTTTCTTCCTCTGATCCCTATGCTTATACAAGCAGAGGCTACTAGGTAAGCTTGCCCAGTCCGGAAGAAGACCCTTGGGCACCTTGCATGGTTGGCCGTCTCACGACATGTCGTTAAGATGTGAGCCACGCCTGACAGCGGTCTTTTCATCAGGGTCGCTGCTGCCTGGCTTGCTTCACCCGCTCCTGAGTCACTGAGCATGCAGAGGCACTGAACAACACACGGAGATCTCCATTCCCTGCACAAATGGAGAAAATCCCCCCAGATCTCCCAGGCATCCTCCAAGGCCAGCCGATGCTCAGGAGACAGATTGGCCAATTGATGCTCCACCTGCATTCGAGCCCTCTTCAACAGAATTTCAAAAGAAAAGTATGCCGTTTGCTCAGTACTCGCAGCACATACAGTCTCATCCCTGTGCCCGCAAAAAATGGCAACGTTCACTCTGTCTGTGTGTGTGTGTCAAGCATGCATAACACACTTAGACGAACTTACGGTCGTAGTCAAAAGCTCTCGTTTGAAATTGCAGTTGTTCAACATACCCTGCCTGGTTTGACTTGAGAAGAGGGCCACCAAAGCTAGGGCAGCTAGCGCAAACAAAGGAGGAGTCGATAGAGCTCGGTCGTTGTTGCACGCATGTTCGGCAGCGTGGACGCAGACGCAGGCACACCATGGAGCTTGACACCTATACAAGTTGCCGGTATTCTTCTGCATTACACTGCGCACATACAGATGCGCCCTCGTCGCAGTACCTTGACGGAACAGTCCTAGTGGCAACTCTAAGTTACTTTGCAAATCACCGACGCATCAGACTTGCAACCTGCTACGTAGCCGCACTCGGCCGCGTAAAGACAAAATGCAAGTCACCATGTTGCTTAAGCAATGGGGGGGGGGTGGCACCCCCCGGCCCTCCCCCCCTTCAAACAGGTGCGAGTGGATCAGATGAGGTCCTGGACCCCCAGCCATTCAAGTGCCTAAATCTCAGATACCCTAAGCCCTGGACCCTAAAGACCCAAAACCCTAAAGACCCCAAGCCCTAAACGCCAAAGCCGAAGCGCCGGGGCCTCAGGCGAGTCCCAGTTCGATGCCATCAAGGCCATTGTGGCACGCTCCAGCAGGCTCGCGCGGTGCCTTCCATAAGGCAAACATGGAAGTCGGGCTTAGGGTTTAGGGCCTTTGGGTTTAGGGTTTAGGGGTTTAGGGGTTTAGGGTTTAGGGTTTAGGGCCTTTGGGTTGTTAAAGTTTAGAGTTTAGGGGCCCTAGGGTTTAGGGTTTGGGACCGCGATTTTGGTTGCCAGCATCCTGAAAGCCGGGTCGGGGAGCCCATGTCCCGGGAGCCTTTCACCGACCACGCTAAACCCCTTAACCTAAAGCCCTAAACCCTAAATCCCTAAACCCTAAAACCCTGAATCCTAAATCCTAAATCCTAAAACCCTAAACCCTAAAACCCTTGAACCCTAAACCCAAAGCCCTGAAGCCCAAAACCCTAACCCATCTTCATCCCGAGGCCCAGTCAAACCTCACATACACATTCTACCTAGCACAGCCGACAACTGAGCGACTTGAGCCAGGGCAGTATCGGATTTAGGCTTGCTCGACACTGTGGTTGTGGTTGGTTGATCTTTGCTCCACTCTGTCACAGAACCAGGGTGGTGCACTGCGCCTCGATGCCAGCTTCAGCATTTCTGCACAATCCTCAAGGTCCTGTCGACATGGTGGACAGGAACGTCAGACTTCTTCGAGCAAAGGCAGGGAAGTTGAGCTGCACAGCTGCTGGCCCAGGCAACCTGCAGTTTGCTATGTGTGCCCTAGAGATGATCTTTTCCACTGCTGCCCAGGCTGTCGACTATCTCCTGCGAGATGTTGGTCAGGGAGGTGTCAGGTCAGCTTCTCACTCAGATCACGATCTCGAACTTGACCACGCTGATCCGGGTCTTGCGCTCGGGAGCTCGAGGCGATGGGCTCGATGGGCAGACCCTGGCAAGCAAGTATTCAGCAGACTTGGCAGACGAAAGCCCCTTTGGTGCCGTCGAGGCCGCATCCCTCACTGTCACTGGCTCCTTGCGAGTCCAATGAACCAGAATTCTACACCACTGACATTTTTATCATCTTTGTAGGGTCCTTCGGGAGTTACAACAACGACAGCCCGAAGACCACGAGGATACGCCCAGGAGACCACCAAACAGTAGTGGCGGATTCAGGAAGACAGGCAAAATCGGCGAAAATGCAAGGGCTAAACATGGGGAGACTAGAGGCCACGGCCCAACTTCTGCCCAAGTACTGGCGGCTACTGGCGGCTCTCGGACCTCGCCTTTCCCCCAAGCGCTAGGACTAGGATTCAGCGCAGGATTCGGGAGTGATTTCAACGCCACAGGACTTTCAAAGCACTGGAGCATCAAGGATCATGGCGCATTTCAGGAGCACGGTTCCCCCATCTTCCCCCCATACGCTGGGAGGATTCAGGACGACGGCCAAGATCCTTTCGGTGCCTGGATTCAACGCTTTGGAGGCCCAAAAACGGTCCATGAATTGGAAGTCAATACCATGCATCCGGCTTGCGGGGAGACGGTTTCCAGCAGATCCTCTGAATGGGATGCGAGCGCAGAATTTACGCGCCGCGTCCCGGCAAGCTTTTCCCCAGCGGAGGCGGGAACTCAAACCAACTCTCTTTGATCTAGGAACCTGGTTATGCAACCTTTGGTCCAGTAACCCCAAAGTATTGGGATCCAGATAAAATCCAGATAAAAGCATAAGTGTTGGGATCCATATAAAGAGACCTAATCTAATAGAGACCCAAGGCTTCTGAATCAGGTTCCCATATTCTCCTGAACGATAAAAAACCCCAAAGTGCGTACTACGTTTTTTTGGGCGGACACAAGGGAATGGCCTCGTCCCTAGGACGAAGCGAACTCGGACTTTCCATTGGCTCCATTGCACAGGATCTCTTCACAGTCGGTCAGCGCTTCACCTTCCTTGTCAGGCTCCTGACAGGCAGGACTTTGCAGGATGGGCCTTCATAATTACCTATAGTATTTTGGGGGGCTCCTTATCATTATTACAATTATTATTATATCATCTACCCTAAAACCCTATTCAAATTTTTCAAGGCCCCTATATTGCTTGGGACCAGTGACTGATGCAAACGCAGCAAGGGCCTGGGCAACGATTGCTTTGAGCGGAGGGTCAACCTTGCGACCTCGAAAGCACGCGGCAGTCTCTAGGACCCCATGGCCCCATAGTCGTTCCTTTTTTGTGGCTTATATTTAGGATCCTATTAGGTAATTTTTGTAGCTTATACTTAGGATCCTATTAGGTATAATCCCAAAAAGGAACCACTATGGGGCCTATGGGCACAAGGAACCGGACTCCAGGCGGCTAGGGCGGGCTTAGTGACAGTGCGGCTAGTGCCCGCTTAAACGCAAGAAAGCCACTCAGAAGCATGGTGAAGTAGTCGTCATGGTCAACTTCGGGCGCAGCAAAGTCCAACAAGCCGAGTGAGTGGCTGCCAGTGGCCTGCAGTCTAGATGCTTCTGACGGACAACTCCAAGCTGCGAACAAGTGTGAAGCTCCTACTGCACCTTTTGATCCTGAAGCTGTTGCCTTGCCTTGCGGTGCGGTGACACTCCGAGCTTCCAGCTACACTGTCGTCGAAGGCGGTGCTTTGGACCGACTGCTGTCTTCCCCGATGGATTTGAAAGAAGGCGTTGTCCTTGCTTCGACATGAGCAGATGCGCTGGGGTTCGAAGTGGCGAATCTGGCGAATTCTCATCATCCTGCCTTGATATCCTGAAGCCCGTTTGCTCCGCACCCAAGGCGTCGCCGCGGGCGGGGCTCGAGCAGCGAGACCTGGCATCTGAGGTGACTGAGGCTCCCTTCAGGGCTCACAGAGACTCCAGGCTCTCACTACGAAACAGCCAACAGCCCATTGAAGCATAAGGCTACTGGTGGTAATAGAGCCCGGGAAGGCAATGAGTACTCGAGCGCAGGGTTCAAGATGCTGAGGAAGTGCAGGACTTCCGGCTAGAACGGCTCTGCAGACCTGAAATCAATCATAGATCATGGGCAGGCTGCTTCACAGGGGTCGACGAACCTCTCGCGGATTGTCAGCATTCTCTCCGAAGGGAAGATGACCACACAGGAGCCTGCAACGAGACGCGCTTCCAAGCAAGATTTTGATGCGATGCTGTCAGCCAAATTGGCCGGGCGAGCTCGTAGAGGACAATTCCCAATGCCCAAACCTGACGGCATGGGTTGCACTGCGGAACCACAGAGATGTCATGCCGACGAGGCGGCTTTGCTAGGAGCCAGACGTCAACTTCCAAACCATAGCCCTTGCCACGCATCACTTCCGGAGCCATGTAGTGGGTCGTGCCTCCAGTGGACTCACAGGCACACCACGAAGCAGTGACGGGAACTAACTCGTTGACTCGTTTCCAGACACCCTCAGTCATATGGAAAGCAACTTTCTCGTGATGCTCGCCCTTGCTCGATGCAGGCCACCCCCACCAAAGCACTCCCGGATAGCAGTTACTTGGGGAACAGCATCAGAGTCAGTGTGCAATCTTAACCGGGCAGACTGAAACCAACAACATCCAGCCACGTCCTGCAGCAAACCCAGACTCGTTTTGGAATCGGTGAGGCAAAAATCTTGGGGCGCTGCCGACCAAAGTGAACGTTCTGCCGCATTTGGCTTCCAGCTTCTTGGCAGTTCCGAAGTCTACCAGCTTCAGGTAGCCCTGCATGCAGGCACAGCTAGATGCGTGAACCGGGTCAAAGCCCTCCGAGAGTTGAAAAAGACCGTTGGGCCTCGGCATCCAGCATGATGTTCTCCGGCTTCAAATCGCGATAGACCACATTCCGCTCATGGAGCGCTTCCAGCATCAGAAGGAGCGATCCCACACAGAACCTGGCACGGACGGACACCGCCAACATATTCATTCTATGCTCACACAGCAGATCTGAGAAGCCGACATGGCTTGCTGACGGCTGAAGACTGTCGAGATTGACCGCATTGCTGCGTAAAGCCTCAGTAGACTCTCGGGATGTGGCCATCGACAACACACAGCTTCAAGAACCAATGGCAGTCAAGCTTTCTGAGGAAGCCACTCGCCGCCTCCGACGTATTCGGCTAGGACGTAGATGTGCGAGTGCGTCTGCATAGACTTCACCTGACAACCGCGACTGTCCGTTTCACAGTGGCTCGTCGTAGATCATTGCACATACAGCCTTCAACCCTAAACGCCAGGAAGCCGGCCATTTGCATGAGAAATGGATGGTCGTTTTCGGAAAGAATCTGGATCTCGCGCTGGACTTCCTGCGGGACCTCAGTCATCTGGCCTGTGTCTGCATTCTGGGTCTTTTGCTTTTCGGACGTTGAGGGTGCGGCCTTGCCATCGATCGTTTTGACCCTTTTCAATGCATATCTGGCATCGGTCTTCACGTTCGTTACCTGGCCGTGAGATGGGAAAGGCACCAGAAAGACGCCTGTGTCTGAAAGGAAACCGAGGCCATGGCAAGCCAGACTGTACCAGATGTTCCAGTGCCGACTTGACCAAGCTTCTTCAAGTCCTGCAGCCTCGGGATCTGATCTGCTTCTTGCCACCGCGGACCGACACTTCCCATGTCTTCGCGACTACCGAGAGCCCGGCCCCACTCCCGGATCTTGGAGCGACGCTCTCTGCCGGAGCTGTTCAGACGCCCGGGTCTCTTTTGCAAGAGCCTGGCATTGAAGCAGGTTACTTGTTGCTTAGATCTTTTTATTGAAGCAGCCTACTGTCTCTGCAAGCAACAGGCTTCGAAGGCCTGGAGCAATGTGTTGCGATCCCAGAACCACACTTCACATTCCGCTGCCACCTGATGCAGCTCTTCGGCCACAACATCATCTTTGTCATGCAAACGGAAAAAAGCGCTGAGCACGGAACCACAGTGAAAGACGTCGACCACGGCTCCGCGAACAGCACGGCGCGCTCGCCGAAGCAGCCGCCCTGGACCAGCCTGACAGATTCTGACGACAAGGACGTCCTGCTCCAGACCATTGAGTGGCAAGGACATGGAGAATAAGCGTCCATTCGATCTCAAGCCTTCTCACAGAATGACCGTCCTTGACCATATCCACCTCCGACAGGGAGAAAACACTACCAAGATCGAAGGAAGGAGTGGTGCCTCGCTCGACCAACACCACTTCTCACAAGGGCAGCTTAACGACGCAGATTCTGACGGCAGTTGTGTCGATGACGCTCTCAGCTGTGAAGGTTTCTGCGCAGCCCTAATCCGGGAAGAAGAAACTAGCACGCGGATGGTCGACGATGTCCGCGGAATTCCGTGGACAGATTAAGGCAAGTCTGGCGGTCAGCGCCTCCCCAGTGGCAATGACGTAGAAGTGGGAAGCCTTCTCGCCTCACGCTGTTCCCACCATGGCACGGGCTCCCAGAAAATGACATTCGGAGACAGCTGCTTCAGTGTCCGTACTACTCAGTACTAACATCCGGAGGAACACACCCACAGTTGCACGCACAGCCTTGCTGCACGATCTGCTCACCGTTCCGGTACAGCTGCGTCTTGACGCTCTGGAAAAGCACATCCAGTGTCGCCTCCCATGAGCTGGAGCACAGCTAAAATTTTAAGTGCATCGCAGCCTCCTACTTGCGCCCACCTCCTGCACCTGCCTGAAGATCGATACCTTAGCAGTCGTCACGTGAGGCTTC